GTTGAAAGAGAAATAGCTATTATGAAATTGATCGAACATCCACACGTGCTGGGCCTCTACGATGTTTATGAGAACAAAAAATACTTGTGAGTATTAACTTGCCTTTTGTTTTTACCTGTGTGTGAGTATTACCTGTGTGTGAGTATTACCTGTGTGTGAGTATTACCTGTGTGTGAGTATTACCTGTGTGTGAGTATTACCTGTGTGTGAGACACTCTGTGTGTGAGTATTACTCTGTGTGTGAGTATTACCTGTGTGTGAGTATACCTGTGTGTAAGTATTACCTGTGTGTAAGTATTACCTGTGTGGAGACACTCTGTGTGTGAGTATTACCTGTGTGTGAGTATTACCTGTGTGTGAGTATTACCTGTGTGTGAGTATTACCTGTGTGTGAGTATTACCTGTGTGTGAGTATTACCTGTGTGTGAGTATTACCTGTGTGTGAGTATTACCTGTGTGTGAGTATTACTTCTGTTAGTAGATCAGTATACCGATATTTAATGGTGTTATGGTAGTATATAATTATAGTATATCTTGTATATGTTGGGTATATACAGTGTAGTGGTGAGTATATTGTATATTATAATGTTATAGTGGATATGGTGAGTTAAATTTTTTGTATAGTGTGTCATCATGATACTAATTTGTGATGGTGATATGTTGGGGTATACTTTCTATGTGATATGTTGGGGTATACTTTCTATGTGATATGTTGGGGTATACTTTCTATGTGATATGTTGGGGTATACTTTCTATGTGATATGTTGGGGTATACTTTCTATGTGATATGTTGGGGTATACTTTCTATGTGATATGTTGGGGTATACTTTCTATGTGATATGTTGGGGTATACCTTCTATGTGATATGTTGGGGTATACCTTGCATGTATGTAATGTATTTATGTATGGAAGCATGTTTGTATGTATGTATAGTGACGTCATGATAAAGCTTATTTGATCTCGGAACCGAATTATTAATATATCAAACTTCACTAGTGGCACTAACTTGTCCTGACACTACTAGCTGAATATATGAGTGCCACTTTTAGACCCTGTGTAACCCAAGTGCCATGTAATGTCAAGGAGAGTGCCTGGTTATTAACATCTCTCTCTCTCTCTCTCTCTCTCTGTGATCTCTCTTTATATTCCATGTTGAACATTTCTATCTGATATATTAAGTTCCTATGAAATTCAAACATCAAACCACCATGCAATTATATCCCTGTTGATCTATGTATATCATAACACCATCGTCATTCATGCCGAAAGAATCCTTAACGACCCTTAACACCCACGTGAACTACCAGACACAGTGACGCTAGAATGATGCTGTAATGGGAGGAAAGCTCGACTTGGATCCCGGAGACTGTGAAGGTTGTCTAGACACTGCAGCAGCCAGTCCGTAGTCCCCGCTGAGTGCCATGTTTCCTCAACCGAATATTAGTGTTTATAGTATGATGTGTAGCGGCTGTAGAGTGGAAGGACAGACACCCTGGATAATTACTTCGTCTGTTGTGTTCTTGGTTATCATCCTTCACTCCAGCACCGTCATTAGTTTTACCTGAGATGTGTTAGAATTTATCCGTGACTGCTGTAGGTCGTTAGTCACATCACAATCTTTAGCAGTCTGTGTCGGAGCGGTTTCAGTCACCCAGAAAGAGTCATTATTCCAAATGGATTCATATATTTTGTAATTTACATAAAAGAGTCACATTTCAGTGGGTTTTTAAATTGAGCGTTTAACCGCACGGGGCCGCATCAGGTGGTGAGGCACTAGTGATCACTTCAGGTTACGGGGAACGACCGCTACTAAAATTCAAGACAGCGTTCGCCATTACCTTGAAGGGCTCACCAGAGAGGCCCGTCTGTGAGCCAGCGTGAGCAGCGGCATCTGAGTCGCCACATTTGATGCCTCACTTTATGGATGTCTCAGACCGGTGCCCTGGCCATGACGTCCCCGATAACTTACCTCGCCGGTGTGTTGGACCAGATCACTGTTGACGATCATCCAAGGGCGTCATAATGAAGACCTATTGCTCTCTTTTACGTATCTGCGTCATGGTTGGCTGGTCGTCGGCACCGTGATGGCGTATTTTTCTTGCCAAAAGAGGACTAATTTATCCCTTAATGTCTCGCTGCCATTCCTATTTTTCTTTCCATTTTTCCAGTCGGAGGTTCAGCCTAAATTTAACTCATGCTCATCTTTATATTGGGTCTTGTGTTGGAGGATAAAGTCCCTACTGACTCAGGGTGTGTGGTGAAGCGGGGACTGGTGACTCTGGTGACCTCGGTGACTTGCTGGTGACCCGGGAGGTGACTACTCTTGTACTGGTCTAGGCACCAAGATCTACACCTAAATCATAAGTACAGTAGACGCTGACGTGTTGGAATGCAACTAAAATTCTTTGCCGACATTTAACATGCAAATATATGTACTTAACCTTTCCAACATGAACGTGACTTACAGCTTAACACTTGACCTTGACGGCCATCTCAGTAATGCAGACAACAAGAATTCTTCATAAAACAAATCGATCAGGTAGAGTTAAGACAGGTGAAGCGAGTAGACACAATCACCGTTTGTTGCTGTTGTAGTGATGGCTGTTGTTGATCGCCTGAGACCTGTTTGTAGCGGTAGTGTGTGTGTGTGTGTGTGTATTAAGGGGGGGGGGGTGGCACGTATAGCACTGTCTGCCGCCCGTCTACATGAGTTTGTTCCAGTAGACACACCTAACGTCTCATGAAAGGAAGACAACATATTTAACAACTCCGCAGCCCACACTCTACCAGTCACCAGTATCACCAGTTTGTACCAGTCACACACTACCAGTCACAGGCATATACAGTCACACATATCACAGTCACACGTAAACCAGTTAACAAGCCAACAATTTTCTCTGGAGGTCAGGCACTAAGCACACGTGTACACATAGGTAACGTGAGGACGGTACAATGTAAGCAGGACATATGTAAGGTAAGGGTGTGTGTAAACAGTGCTTGGGGGGTGTGTACTTAGGGCGGCCAGTGATACAAATGTTGGTTCTTGTTTGTTGATGCTGTGTGTGTGTGTGTGTGTGTGTGTGTGTGTGTGTGTGTGTGTGTGTGTGTGTGTGTGTGTGTGGCAGTACCAGTTAGCAGCGTCTCTCTCTCTCTCTCTCTCTCTCTCTCTCTCTCTCTCTCTCTCGTCACGTACACCTATGGTTTTTAGTTATCAAAATATTAGCAATGATGATGTAAGAGTTTGCGTTGACTTTAGTTTCAGCATAATAGTTAATCTAATCTAACCTCTAATATAAGCTTACTTAACCTAACCTAACCTAACCTAACCTAACCAAACCCTCTGTGTGAACGTGATAATTCTAACCAACTTTCAATGGCTACCGATGATTCCCTGACGTAAGGGCGATAACACAACAAGATCTCTCTTAAGGAGGCTCGATGATGGCTATTTCCCGTCAATATCACCCGGAGTTATGGCCTGATTTGTCTTGCTGTCAGGGTAGGATCCAGTGGTCAACATGTTTACTTTGGATTCTCTCCTGAGTGGGTGGGTGTGGGTGTTAGGGGAGGGGTGAGTGGGTAGGTGTAAGGGGATAGATCAGGGTTAGGTGTGGGGGTAAGCGTGGGTTAGTGGATAGGTGTGGGTAGGTAGTAGTAGGGCAAGTTGAAGTTGGAAGCAAGTATAGGTTAGGAATTGGTGTAAGGTTTGGGTAGATGTGGGTTAGGAAAGGTGTAGGTAGGTGGGGGAGGGTGTAGGTAGGTGGGGGGTGTAGGTAGGGGGGTTGAAGGTAAGAATTGAATGGGGTGGGGGTATAAGATGGGAACCATCTGCCGAAGTCGTAAGTGAAGTAATTTTTCTCCCCAGGTGTGTTAGGACTACTACTGCAGGAGGGTCCGTGTGTGTGTGTGTGTGTATGTGTGTGTGTGTGTGTGTGTGTGTGTGTGTGTGTGTGTGTGGGGTGTGCTAGTGTTACCCAATCCACTAATGGTTATTACTACACTGGTGGGCGCCTCTGGGCTAATGGCCGGCCAAACCTCAGGCCCCCCCATAAACTGTTTACTCATTTATCGTTTTGATGTGTGTGTGTGTGTGTGTGTGTGTGTGTGTCTCTTGTTGACGATTGATTTTATATACAATGTTTTGATTTGCAGACAGACAGACAGACAGAATGAACGAACACACCTACCTGAGCACAAACTGAACGAACGAACAGACAGATACAATACAGAGAATAAGAACTAAGCAAACAGAGATAAATACAGGAGAACAGGGAGGAAACAGAGAGAGTGGAGGGTAGAGCACAATCACACAACCAAGGATAAGAGACTCGACTATTTTTAAACAACAAATCCAGGTGAGTCTCTGTGTGATCCTGAGACTCAATAGATGGTGCTGGTGGTGCTGGGAGTGTGCTGGTGGTGCTGGGAGTGTGGTGGTGGTGCTGGGAGTGTGGTGGTGGTGCTGGGAGTCTGGCTGGACGAAACACCTGCTATCACTCTCAGGAAGACAGTTCAGGTATAAATAAATATAGGAAATAATTTGCATACACTGAGTAATTTACTAACACACACACACACACACACACACACACACACACACACACACACACACACACACACACACACAACTTCTTACTGATTGAAGGAAAAGTTTTAATTTTCTTCAAATACGACCAGGAATATTTAACCACATTGATCTGTTTACATATATCTCTGTATCTTGTTTTGTTTACATATATTTTTCTTTCAGTAGTTTTGTTTGCATATATTATTTTTTTTTACATTTAGTAATTTGTTTAAGGAGGAAATCTGAGGTTGTTTGCTTAATATATTATGTTATAAAAGTTACCAGAAATCGATATATTTTGAGGAACCTTTACGCACTGTACGTGTTGACAACCTGAGCACCACATACTGACACCATTACCACCAATACTGTCGCCACTATCAACACTGTCGCTATTAAAGCCATTGTTACTACCACCACTACCAACACTGATACCATTAATACCATCACCACTACTACCATCATCCTCATCTATCATTATGATGGTGTGGTTATGGTGTGGTCAGGGTGATGGTGATG